GACCATAATTAAAAATCCAATAGAATTTTAACTGTAACTATCAAAATAAAAAAGTTTCCAATGTCTTAGTTGATTCATTCATGCATCCATTCTGATAATTCTAAATAAGAATGCAGTAGTAGTGGACAGGATTAGGCAAATAAAGAATATTGATAGAGCTTGGAAATAAGAAGAAAAATTATATTAATATCAGTCGAAGACAAATAAATTAGATAGCTATGAACTCATACTTGCATCAACAAATGACATAAGGTAGGATATATACTTGAAGCGAAACTCTAATGAAAATAATTAAATTTATAATGTCAAGAAAAATTGATAAGAAAAAAATACAAAGAAAACTTGATTTAGATGTCAATCACCTATTATTAGTAGTCCAGAAGATGATAATCTAGCTATATGTGATCAATGTCATTATACTTTTTGTAAAAAATGTTATGAAACATATCATTTTCAAACAATGTGTCCTAAAGATTATTTAAATGAACAAATGAAATTACTAAAACAAAAAGAACTTCATCAATTACGAAAAGAAAAAGAAGCTACATTGGCTAAATTAAATGAAACAAAAGGACAGAAAAAAACTTGGAACGAACAAAGAATTCCTACACAAAGATATCGTCATATTTTTATTAAACTATCTGAAAAAAATACTTTATTACAAGAAATATTAACTGCTGAACGAATGAATGCAGATGATATTCAATTTTGTTCTGAATGTCATGTAGCAATCGAAAAGAACGGTGGTTGTTCACATATGCAATGTAAACGATGTAATTTCGATTTTACGTGGCAAACAAAACAAGAACCAACACAAACAGTTATTACTCCTTATTTGGAACGTAATGATTCCACAAAAATTGAATCTATAAAAGAAGAACTCAACAAAGTAGCATATTTAGGTTAGTAACAAAGAAAGCATTGCTGAATAAAAAGTTTTGTACTAGAATGAAATGTCAAAAATGATAATTCCCTTTTAGTAAGTTTTAAAAGGAAGAATATTTGAATAATACCTGATCGCAAATTGTAGAAAACATTTCGCTCGAAAACAAAAAAACCTAGGCTAACAAATAAAATTCTGTTGCGTATCTAAGATAATATGGATTTAAGTGTTCCTATTAACAAGTCAGAAAGAAATTTATATAATACTCAAATTGTTAGTTTTGTAATAGTTTTACATCTATATTTCGACTAATATTTGTAAGTATTGACGAAAATGACATTAGACTATATAGTTTCTTCATTGGCATAGGAGATTACACGGTACTATATAGAAAGCAATATATTTAAGGGAAAAAACAAATAATGATTTATATACATTATCTTTCTTTTAGTCGATACTTCTGTAGAAGAAAAACCAAAACAACATAAAGATATACCTTCTGATCAAGCACATGAACAAGAAGAACAGAAAGATGACGACGATTTGAGTATCTTAATTGATGATGAATCAACTATTGGTTCAGTTATACTCAACCGAGTGATAACATGTCCGAATGAAGCATGTAGAAAGACTAATGTAAAGGTTACTCAAGATAACTGGATGGTATGCAGTGCATGTATGGAACAATTTTGTTTTTTATGTGGATCTGGTGTAAATGGAATAAAATATTTTGAGAAAATATGTGTAAGAACTACCCCAGTTTAAATAAAACTGACTGACCTAAGCTAATATTAGAATATCATGTGGAAAAACATGCTATCGTGCTTGGTGAACTCACATTGAATAGTCACAAGAGAATACCTTAGAGAATTTTTAAATTTCAAATAATGAAGGTCTTCATATTTCTATAGAATGCTTCTATATTTTATGACATATTGAATTGGATTGTTTTTAATTCGAAAGATATTCATATGCTATTTACATGAAATATCGCTCATTAGAAATTTTAATACAGACACCGGTACTCTATATTTCTAGGATGTGGATGCGGGTGTGAATGTGTTTAAAGAGAAGAACAACACTCACATACTCACAACCTCAATGATCATCATTGAAAACTTTTAGAATATAATCATTAAAAACGTACTTCAAAATGAGTAAAACAATATCAGATCGAAAATCGCTCACAGTCAATATTATTGCTACGGCAAACTTCAGACTATAACCCAACTAAAACTATTTGAGTATGAATGAAGCTCCAAAATAAATCAACAACCACTGATATCAATCAATAATTTGGATAAAAGAATAAAACAAGAATGGAAAGATTTACCTATTGCATTTGCTGAAAAATGAATTAATTCCGTGAAAAATAGAGTACAGTTGTTAAATGAGAGAACAGGCAATTATATTAATTACTTAGACGGTGCACATGTTCTATAGATTTTTTAGATAAAAAGTAATAAAACTACAGCAATGGGTTTGTCTTCCTTGGTTCAATATTCGTGCCCTCTTATGGCGACCACTGTATATACATTATAGATGGATCTGGCAATGAATACTCTTTTCATTTGCATCTATACATACATACTATTCGGCTTTTGCCTTTTTTCTTATTCTCTTCCTACTAGGCTTTCTATTTTTTTCGTTCGTTCTTTGACTTTTTGTACTTTGTTCGTTATTTTTTCTTGTTTTACTTTCACTTCGCACATTTCTGCAGTCGTCATTCTCCTTTTTTTTTCTTTTTTGCTTATCATTTATCCTTCTTCATTTGTTTCATTAGTATTTTGTTTTGTTGCTTACTGCGACACATGTCTATTCTCAATTTGCGATCATCACGTGACACAATTACCTCCAAATAAAACTGAAGTATGGTAGCGTTTTTTTTCAAATTTGCAATATCAAAAAATATATTATATATCCTGCTACTACCACATAAAAGCGTCCTGCGTAACTATGGACAATCTACAAATTTTTTTTATAAGTAATTACCCACTGGGTTTCCGTCATCATGAGAACAATAGAATAGCAAGAGTAATACATGGCAAATGTTCTACATTTGCTATTCTTGGCAATATAAGTCATCAACTTATTGGATAGCTCAATCGATCGTCTTTAGTTCAGAGCTGTCAAGACACCATATTTAAATGAACCAATCAAGAAATTATTTGTAAAACATATGAAAAGGTAGTAGCACTCGTTTTTCATTTTTCACATGCAACTTTTTTTCTTCTTCCAAACTCGTGCGTGCAAATAAAAAATCGGAGAAAAGTTGCATGTGAAAGAGGAAAAACGAGGGTTGCTACCTTTTAGTATGGTTTAAA